AGTTGATCTGTTACACTCAGTCAGTTGTATTCCCATATTCCCACTGAATAAGCAATTTATTATTATTATTATTAGTAGTAGTATTATGAGAATAATAATAACTTTAGAACTTTTTTTAAATCCAAACAGAAACACGCAGATTTTTATTAATTTTTTTGTCATCGATTAGGCTACAATTGCATGTTTGCATTTGTGTTTTAGGCCTGTAGTCAACTGTGTGAGAGGAAAAAATTACAATTAACATTAAAAATCAAACCAAAATAATGAAAGTGAAAACTGATTTGTGGCCAGTAGTTAGAGACCCTTCTGAATCTAATAGGGCACACATGCTCGTCATCAGCACAAAGTATGAAACATCTAATAATAATATATATTACAAAGTTTTCATTTTCAGTTTTGAAATAAACTTTTTATTACTAATAAAAAGTTTTATTAGTAAGATTTTCCTATTTTTATGAGTTCATCTTTATTGAGAGTCTTATAGGGTTATACAGTTTTAGCAAATATATCTTTCTTCTAGAATATCTGACCACAATAAAAAAGTCATGAAGTCATATGCAAGGTTATATTCAGAGAAATTATATTCATAAACCAGATATTGTTGTAGAGATCTTGCAATTTTTCATATTTCATGTCAACAGTGTTACACAAGATTATATTGTTCTAGCTTTCTTTTTTTTAGCTTTTTTTTTGTGCTTATTCATTGGTCATAAATAGGCAGATCAGAAGCCATGTATGTTATTCTGCATTCTGCTTATGTCCTGTCTAATTAAACTACTTCCAGTTCCTCTGACCTAGTGAATTCCTCTGGTTCAATGGGACGGCATGCATGAATAATTATCAGGTTTTATAATGAGTGGTGAACATTTTCCCTCAGTTTTTTTCTTTTCTTATTTTGTACAAATTCCATAATTTAACCTAGTTTAATGGACATATTGAAAGCCAATAAGAACAGAATCTGTGATCAAGTAATTCTTGATAATTTGTACTGTCAGTTATATACATACACAGCAGGATGTAAATATTTAAAATTATTTGTACATTTCATAAATAGCGGAACAACAAGTCTAATTTACTGAAACAAATATCTAGTGTAAATCTGAGCAGCCATTCTGTAACTTCAACATTCCAGAGTCTCAGATTAACCTCAATCTCTACATACAATCCACAATTTAGCCTTCAAAATGAAGTGTTGTTTCTTATTTCAGAGTTTTTTTTTTTTTTTTTCTGTTAATGGAGTGAAATGAGACCTGTACTAATGTTGAAAGAGATATACAGTGAGAGAGGGAGAGAGAGAGAGAGAGAGAGAGAGAGAGAGAGAAGGAGAAAGGGATTTCTACTTTAAGAGTCCTGTTTAAAGTCCATTCATCAGAGACACATTTGTTGCCCAGGCTGAAGTGCAACACGGACAGGTTTGGTTTTATACATTTATACATATTTGGTTTTATTCTCCAGGGTTCTTATACATTCTGGTGTCTGGACCCATCTTACTTTGAATCTGACCCACTTTTTCTCGTACAAATTCACCGTCTCACACCAGCTAACCAGAAGCTAAGTCTAGCTCTGTATAATTTTAGCATAGTTAACCATTTAGGATCCATCTTTGATAACAAAATTAATACAGATGTTCAAAAGAAAACACAAATCTAATAAACTGAACATTAAATGAGACAAAAAGCTAATATTAATGCTTTCCTTTTTGGGAGTATAATAGCCTAACACGATAAATAACTAGTGTCACACAAACTTTAAATTAGCTGGAATTTAATTTATCACAAAACATTTCCCGCTGTCCTCCAGCAAAGTACATTGTACAATAACATTTGATAAATATGTCATAAATTAATATATAATATAACATAATATAATATTTTTTGTATATTAGTTATTGTAAAATAAACCGAGTGTAACTTAAAGATGCACCAAGTAAAATTCCAAGACTACAGTCATATCAGTAACCTACAAAAAGTATTATATAAAGTGGGTCGCCCCATCAGGGTGGCCACCATGTTGAGATCACATGACCTGCCTCTCATTTAATTGTTGAAGAAATGAATCATGGGTGATAAACACTGCAATTGTAGGATATTTTTTACAATGGCAGTGGTAACTAAAAACTCTTTCGCTTTGTGCTTAATCCACACCACAAGATGTCAGTCTAACATCACCACACACAAGCAAAAATGACTTTTAAAATAAAAATGTCCCTTTAAAATATAAGGCTACATCAGTCCATTGATTACAACAACAGTAAATCATACTTTAAATGCATTAGAGATCAGTGCTGTCTCCGATAACCTTTCTATGAATCAGAAACTGTCCATGTAGAACATAAACACCTGTTCTTTTAGAGTTAAATTCCGTCCCAGAGTGTGTAATTATTTTTAACTCGACAGTTGGATCATTTAGAAAGGATTTTGTCTGATTGGTCTAATCTTCCTCAGTAGGTCTCTGGCACAGGAGGCATTAACACAACTTGACATCCCATTTAGCAGTAGGGCAATCACATACAAGTGCTCTGCTCAGGAGTTGGCTCATGTAGTTGTATTCATCCTGATCCTATAGACAAGCTTTGTTGTTAATCATTATAATTTAGGAGCAGATATGCTTGTGCTGTATGCATCATATTTGTTGTATACTTAACATTTTGTCAAATTAAATAGGTAAACCAAGTATTCTATGCATAAATACACATACATTTGCACAGGCAGAAATGTTAGTGCTAGTAGTGTGGTAGTATGCACTTACAAATACTGCCAAGGTTAGCAGAGATTTAATTGGCTTGGACTGAAACCAATCATTCCATATTCACTTGTGATTGAGTAAGCTTTGTGCAGTTGCGTCTCATCTCACCCATGCATGAAATGCCACAGCAGAGATAAACGCTCCAGTGGAATAAAGCTTGTAACAGGATGAACACGGAACAAAGTTTTAATTAAATCATTTGAGTTAACAAGACACAACAAAACAGAGCACTTCACTGCATTAGGTTATATTAAGAATCACAAATGTTTGCATGACTTCTCTTACAGTTAGGACTCAGTTCAGAAGCCCGATTGAAAAAGTGAAAGAGGGGTCTTGTGATGTGAGGGTCTATAACTGCAGGGTCCAGTCGAGGTATTCAGCTCATGCCAAGTGGCCCGGAAGCTGGCAGAGAGGATGAAATTACAGCTCTGACAAGCTGACATATCCAGCTCTCTTACTGAGCACTGCTTTCTGTGCTGCACCTCAGACATTACTGAAGAACTCTCATTCCAATGGACTATTGAAACAACAATGTGCTCAAGGGGTGTCAGCATTCTTGCATTGCTTCAAATATGATTTTTTTAGGGAGCATATGATCCACCATGAACAGACTAAGATGGCTGTGAACCTTAAAATAAGTCTATATTTTGACCCATTAACAGGATGCTGAATTGGTCTGGTACCATTCTGCATGTGGGACTTTCCTTGTACTGGAGAGGAATTTGCAAGCTCATTGCTAGACTATTATAGTCTGCTTTTAGATAGTGTGCCTTGCAAGTAAATTAGTATTACTCCATAACCTCTGCCCTGCTGCTAGACTCAAGAGAAAAATATAGGGCTGTTTCTTTATGAACCCTGTGGACTTTTAGACAATACACTTCTTAATCTGCCAGTTATTATTATTATTATTATTATTATTATTATATTTCTGAAATTTATGAACATTTTCATCACAGTGTCATGTCCAACACATCTTACATTATGTATTTTCATTCTGTGATGAAAATGACATTAACTTCTAGCATTTTATCTATCCTAACAGATAATTACATAATATTTTCACACTTTCTACTAAATTTGATCAAATTACTTTAAAATTTAATTACTTATTACCGTATTTTTTTTTCCTCCACACATCACGTTTCATATTTTATCTCAAGCTCAGTGACAATGCTGTCTACTTACTAAAGTAAACAGGTGCTGTATATTAAAATAAAATTGTATTAGGGACACAACGGCTGTTTATGGTGCAAGTTACGCCATAAACATAAAATCAATCAATCAATCAATCAATCAACTAACTCCTGGTAACATAAAAGTGCCCAAAGATGAAGAAAACCCACATACACAATACACCTATAACTGTTTTCACAATGAGAAAACAGGTAGTTATGGTCCTGGATGCTGATAAGTCAATCCAGTGCTAATTTACAGAACAGCTGTTCAACTAGCTACATGCCTATATGCCAGTACAATACAACAGAGTTCCTTATCCATGAGGTGGATCAAGGTTTATTTAATTCTGACTGTGACTCCTCCCTGATAAATCTGACACTTGATTGTTCAAGCAAATGGCTCAGACACAGGTAATCAGAAGAGGCTCCTGTATCCTATAATCCTCTAGTAACCCTCTCTACAGCAGCTGTCAGCTGTCACTTGCAGAACTGAGCAATGAGTCAACTTCAGTCGCCACCACACCCTCCATCCACACCTTCCCAGCATGCTGTCCTCCCCATAGCTCAAATATTTGTCAATGTTACTACTCCAATACTTCACTGGTTACATATCACCCAAACACTCAAAACACCAACAATGGGCTTTTGGGTTAATCTGAAACTTGTGGAAACTAGAGCAATTTGGTTTTAAATGGTATAAAATACTATGATGTAAAATGTCAGCAGCATTTAAAGTGCCCTGGATCAATTGCATTTAGACATTTTAAGCAAGTGAAAGCATTGTCTTGAATGTTGACTTCTATAACAAAATAAGTCTTTTTTTTTTCTAAAATGTGCATTCACAATTAAGTATATCTTCTGGAAAACACATTAACAATTATATTAAAAAAGGTACTACTGTACATATTAAAATGGTTTAAAGACAAATCAGCAGTACCTTGAATGTTTGGTGATGATTCGGATGTAAACAAACCATAAAAATCTCTTAAGACACATCATGTTCAAAACAAGCCATGGCCTGAGTCATCCACTCTACAAAACTCAGTTACTCCTTAATAAAAATTACAAAAGCGTACTTACTTTCTTGCCATAGGATGCCCCCATGCTGAGACTTTGGGGTGGGGTTGGGATGAGGTTGCTGTCTGTCCAGTAGGCCCAGACTCCAGAGATTTCCTTATGATTCCAAACTCTACTTCTCTCCTTGACTGGAGCCGTGTCCACTTTGGCTCCACCAGGGAGGGAGGGAGTGGGGTGAATTAAGACAGAAAAACTCTCTCGCTCTCCCTGGCACCTCGACAGCAGTGGGGTAGTCCGGGGAATGTGACAAGTTAGGTTAGATTATAATGAGTAGGTTTCTCTGAGATTTTTTAGCTTGTCAAAAAGGACCAGCTTGTAAGCATGAGATAGCTATTTTGTCATCATTGGTTTAGCTTTAAACAAACTGAAATCAAACTGAGCGTGTGAGTCATAGTAAACCAGACCATCTGTGGCACCTGTTACTCTACTTTCCTTACAGGACTTATCCATTGCAATACGATTATGCTAATTGTCAGTGACAGAGTAGGAAGACTTGGGAAAGGCTCATGGTGGGATGGCCTCGGAATAACTGTCAGGATTCAGGGAAGGGGTCTGATTTTTGCTGGCATTATGAAGGCATGGGTGGTCTGCTTTGTATTTACATTAGAGGAAAAAAGTAATGAACCGTGTTGTGGTCACTTAGGGAATCTGGCCACAAAAGGGACACCTGCCATTGGAATTTACAGGATTATTTTACAATATATTAGTGTAGTCAAAAATTTGCTGTGCATCCTGGGTGATTTTCTTACAAATGACTGTGAATGAACAGCAGAAAGATGTAACAGTAATTTCACAGTAATTTACTGATCTTCTTTTACTGTGAATTCATATTATAAAGTTGTCTTTAACTGTGCCACTGTTAAATTTAAGCTAAATTTAGTCGTTTACTACTGTAATTGTTTTGAAGTCACTATAATGGTGATTGATGATCCCATTTGTTTATGCTCTTTGACCTTGCATATTCATATTCAAATTTCTGATCTAGTTATGTCAGAAGTGTGAAAAATTAAAGCATTTGTCAAAATGATAACAGGCTAGAATATGAAATAAGCTAATTGCCTGGATTTAAGATAGTTGTACTCTTCTTAGCAAGAATATGATAATTTTATTTTAGCATTATTCAAGCATGAAGATTAATCAATAACTTATTTGATATTCATAACTGTTTGTGGATGGATCTTTCACAATAGTGAAGCAACTGCTGAGAAACATCTTTGAAAGGTGTGACATCAATACTCGACATACAAAACACAGCAATGGTAAAACTCAACAAATAAAAACAACACTTACAACATAAACCAACATTACAAAATAAACCAGCAACAAAAACTGCTGAAAATGAACCAAAACAAGTTCAATAGCACAAATAAAACCAACAACAATAATAATAATAATAATAAAAAAACAGCTATTCATGCTGCATTGCATGGTGGGTGCCTTCATAGTACATATGCACTGCAGAAACACATTATGATGCTGTTTTTTACAAGAAATATTTGAGAGTGGAGTTAGAAACAAGAGAAGTCCCACTGTGAAACTACTGTGAAAGTGATACAATTATTAACCTGGAATATACTGTAATTTCACACAAAAAATTTTAACAGTGTAATTGGCCCAGTTTGATGACATCACATCTGAGCTGATAATCAATCTAAGGTGGTAAAATTTATTTGAGCTTATGTACAATTTATTTGAGTGCATATGATATTCATTTTCTGTTTAAATTTTTTAGTATAGTCTGAGATGTGTTGGAATACAATTTAAAGCACTGCTTTGTGTTGGTGTGTGTGTGTGTGTGTTTCTTTTCATGTTGGCATTTCAATATTATTGTATAAGCTTAACTTTTGTTGCATAATATATTTCAAAATGTGCTTTATTCTTGATGGCAAAGCTGAATTTTCAGCAGTCACTACTCTAGTTTACAATGACACATGCTTCTTCAGAAATCATTCTAATATGCAGAGTTTTCTTATTATTATCATTGCTGAAAATAGTTTTTGTTGTTCAGGGGCTCGAGCCCCTGCCCCTTTAATCACTGGCGCGAAAGAGCCCTTTCGGTGTGAAATAGGTCCCCCCAGACCGCGATTTCTGACCGCGAATCGCGAATTGTACAGAGGGGGAATGACACTTTTCCCCTGCCCCTCCGGAGGTCTGTGCACGCCACTGCTCTGCAGGACAGTGGGTCAGCAGGAGCAGGGTTGAAGTCCTATGATCTAAGCCCAGTAATGCAAAAGGTCAATGGTGATTTTGCCCAGTGCAAAAACAAACAGAGCATTACTGCCTTCTGCTGGTGATGCATAGACTCTCAAGAAGCTTAATCAAAATATTAGCTTGCTTTCTCTGTACAAGTGATGGTTGTGCAAGACATTCTGGAAGCAACGGAAACACATAATTTCACGAATGAATGAATGAATGAATGAATTCAGGCACCATCATCACACAATTAAACCTGAGTAAAGAATCATGGGAGCTAAGTGTCTATCAGTTGTACCCTTCAAAATCCTTCATTCTGAACATCCTTAAAACATCCTTAAAACAAAATAATATCCAGTTGAAAGCTGTAAACCAACCTGCATGAAATCATTTCATTTGGCAGACGCTTTTATCCAATGCGACTTTCAATTGAGGAATACAACAAATGATGTATCATAAGACCAGAGGTGGAAAGAGTACAAACATATTCTACTCAAGTAAAAGTACCATTACATTAATACAATTTTACTTAAGTACAAGCAAAAGTACCAGTCTAAAAATCTACTCAAGTAAAAGTAAAAAGTAGCTCGTTTAAAATTTACTCAAGTAAAAATTACTTAGTTACATTTTAAAAGTGGGAGGGAGGCAAAAATGGTATAGGCCAAGGGTGTCAAACTCAGTTCCTCGAGGGCCACAGCCCTGCACAGTTTAGATATAACCATAATTAAACACATCTGATCCAGCTAATCTAATAATTTAGGCTTATTTCATGTATGTGTGTTGGAGCAGGGTTGGAACTATACTCTGCAGGGCTGCGGCCCTCCAGGAACTGAGTTTGACACCCCTGGGATAGACCTATAAATCTCAAACCAGTTGTTTTTAATTAAAGGAATCAGTTATTTAAGTGGTATTTAGTATTTACACACTGTTTAATGCAGGACATGAATGCATTTAACCTGCATTTACAAATGCAGAAATAACGTTTTGATATATAAGACATAAAATGTTGAATATTTGTTTGAAATTATAAAAAAAATAAAAAAATAACTCAAAAGATACTTTAAATGTGAAATTAAAACCGCCAGTAGGTGGCAGCAATTCACTGTTAATAAGCGAGTCACTGCGATTGAACCGAATCATTTAAACGGTTGATTCATTCAGGAATGAAACACCGTCATTGCTCAAAGACGCAAAACTGTGCTATGGTGGCTGTTTGAAATGATTTTTGTTGTCGAAATAGAGCAAAAACAGGCAATATGGTGTCTA